AAACACATCTCGGAATCGTTCAAGTAGTCGACTTATGGCGGGGTTATCGTTAGGTACTTCCGTCCTTAGGTTCATGACGTCCTTAAAAACCATGAGAAGTACCGATTGTTCTTGACGAACAGCCCGATCGACTTGACTAGCTTTAAGGTAGAAGTTCTTCATCTTCGCCTCGGTGTCCTTAGCTAGCTTTAGTTGCATCTCATGCACTTGAGATGGACTAAGGGGTGCGAGTACAATCTTCCTCTTGTTGTAAACGAAAGAGTACTGATTCGCTCGTCCATCATGGCTGACCCCTCGATCGAACTGCCATGGTCTACCGAGTAGCATGTGTCCCGCCTGCATTGGGACAACATCGCATGTGACCTCGTCTTGGTACCGTCCGATACTAAATGGTACCTTGACTCGCTCGGTGACCTTAATTTCCCCACTGTTGTTTAACCATTGAAGTTTATAGGGGTGCGGATGTTTCTCGGAAGCTAGGCCGAGCTTCTTGACCATATATGCACTTGCGACATTCGTGCATGATCCGCTATCTATAATCAGTCCGCAGACTTTCCCTTGGACGGTACAACGAGTGTGAAAAATGGTATCTCGTTGGGCAGTTTCGTCCGGAGTAACTAGGGTGCTCAGAACACGTCTCGTCGCTAAGAGTTCACCGCTATCAGGATATTCTATCTCCTCGTTGGGTTCACCAACTTCTTCCTCATCCATGGACTCATACTCTCCGTTTTCCATTATTATCATTACGCGAGAGTTTGGGCAATCTCTAGCCATATGTCCACGGCCCCGACACTTATAACAAATGATCTCTCTAGATCGAGTGTCCCTAGGGTTATTTACGGGTGGTTTCGGAGCTCGTGAAGCTTCAGGGACCTTTCATTTATCCCGGAGATCACGCGAGACTTTAACCTCAGACGTTTCTTTCCTAGGACCAGATGAAGGCTTTGGTGAATATGACGAGGGTCCTACTTGGGATCTGACTCTACTTAGCCGGGATTGTTTCCTCTGATCTTGCTTGTGACACCCGTATCCCGCTTTCCGTTAACAGGATGCGCCACATGGACTAAAATCAACTAAAATAATACCAAACAAAAATACGGGAATTTTAAAACTTTTTAACCATAATACGCAGTGGAAATACACACGATCAATATCGCAAAACAACACATGTACGAATAGTAAACGCACATCGTAAAAAATATGGGAATATAATTCCCGTAGTCCAAAATACAAAACCCGTACATGATGCTTCCTCTCTCAGGTCGTCGTCGTCCAATGCACTAGGCGTAATCCTCTGATACTGAAAAATATAAAAACCACGAGGGCTAAGCACAA